TCTTTAGTTCGAGTGGCTTTAAGTATAATAATGAAAAATAATGACAGAAACGGAATAGACAATTTGTCAAACTGTTGCTAAAACATTTATATTCGTTTTATAGGCTCACGTTTATGCAAAAGTCGAACTATATAAATTATTGTAACACAGTATATTCAGTTTGGAGCAAGGTTTTGCTCACTGAAAATTTGGGAAATATTGTAGACAAAAGAAATTACAACCTACCTAAAGAGACGTTTGTATTCGTGAGCAGCTGTGAGCTAAAAATATAGTTGCATGTTTATATTGCATGTTGCATGCTCCTATACGCGTTGTGTGGTTTGATAGCTATAACACAATTGAGAAATTTTATTTTAACAACCCTAAGTCACAAGATTAAGTCGTTTTGAACATTCTATTTATTTAATTGTAGCTAATGTGCACGATAATGCATCGTTATAAAACGAACTGAAATAAATTTAATATTAAATTTAACTATAATTAAAAGGGTTAAATTAATGATGGAGTAATGAAAAGATGGGTTTTTCCTGCATGGCACAAATCTACAGTTGCATGTACAAATACGGCTAGCAATTCTAAATGAAGTTGCTTTTCGCTGTGTTGGAAATATATAAAAATGTATACCTTATAGTTAAATTTGTTCGTGCCTACTCAAGCATGCAGCTATAAGTTTAAATAGTTTATTTGTTGAAGCTGAGATCTGCTGGCTATATATTACCGCGTATATTAGCATGTTGTTACGTATAACGCGGCTTGGAAAGATTTTATTGGACAGATCTTGATCACAATTTTCGTAAGTTATAAAAATTAAAATTTGCTTCGTTTTAGAGCACATTGTTGCTTTTCACTCTGCACACAAATAAAGAATAATACATGGATACCCAAAAATATGACATTTATTTCCAGTGTTAGCATAAATATGCAGCCTATTATAAATTTGCGCGATACTTCACCATTTGACGTTTATATACATTGTGAAGAGTTGTACTGTTTTGATGTTTTTCTGAAGATTGTGTGAAGCTTAATATCTCAAAAATGGGAGTAGTTTTTGAAATTATAAAGTCGTATGCTTTTTTACTTGTAAGCGTATATGCGCATCCATATAACTGATATAGCAATTTAATTTAATTTGGAAAATTTTCATTAAATACAGCACGAGCATCATTATTAAAGATCGATTTCTGTTAGCCTTCTTTTCTGATGACATCTCAGGTAATAAATTTTCAGACCCCTTTACAAAGTCGGACAAAATTACAAACAATCATTTGTGACAGCAACCTTTTAGCCTACTCTTTAAAAATTGGGAAAATATTCGGCAAAAATATGTCAAGCCCACTTTAGATATGTCAGAAAAATATTACCACCCACCTAAAGAGACGATCACGTTTATGAGCAGCTGTGTCCTGTGAGTTTAAATAGTTTATTTGTAGAAGCTGAGATCTGGCTTTATATTACCGCGTCCTACTTAGCTATACTTAGCTACCTCTGCACGTTGTTATGTATAACGTCTTTGAGGTATAACGACGTCTTGGAAAGATTTTATTGAACAGATCTTAATCACACTTTTCGTAAGTTGTAAAAATGAAAATTTGGTTCGTTTAAGACCACATTGTTAAGGCATTCTGCATGAGACAAATAAAAAATAATACCCGGATACCTGAAAATATGACATTTTTGACGACCCAAACGACCCAAATTTGCGTGATAGCTACTCCGCCATTTAGCTTTTATAAATAGTGTTTAAAGAGTTGTAATGTTTGATTTTTTTCTGAAGATTGTGAAGTTTAATCTCCAAAAAATTGAAGTAGTTTTTGAAATTATAAAGTCGTCCGGTTTACAACATTTATGAGCGTAGGAGCATGCAATATGATTTAGCAATTTAATTTAATTTGCAAAATTTTTATTAAATGCAGCGAACATCATTATTCACGATCGATTTCTGTTCGTCTTCTTTTCTGATGATATCTCGATCGGGTAAAAAAGTTTCAGACTCCATTACAAAGTCGGACAACATTACAAACGATCATTTGTGACAGCAACCTTTTACTCTATAAAAATTGGGCAAATATTCGGCAAAAATATGTCAAGCCAACTTTATATGTCAGAAAGATATCACCACCCACATAAAGAGACGATCACGTTTATGAGCAGCTGTGTCCTGTGAGTTTAAATAGTTTTTTAAAGCCAATAACAGGATTCTTGTTACAGCTTTTTCTATAATTATATGATCTGTGGTTTTATAATTTATAATTATAACATCATTGAGTAATTGAATTTAGTAGTCTTAATCGGAAAATTGGCAAGACGTTTTGAACATTTTTGTTTATTTCCTGGTAGTGTTTATAATTATAAATTCTTCTTCCATAAAAGTTGAGTCAAAAGTCGTGTCATTTTAGGTTCATGCATACATTGCATGAACTGTACCTCCAGTCTTGAACGAACTTAATTCAATTTGAAAGGGAGAGCTGAAGGTATATCATTTTATATGTTTCAGCTTTCTGAGAAGAATGCAATTTGCAAAGATGTGAAAAAAAAATACACTTTACATTTAAATTTGTTCGTGCTTACTCAAGCAGTTATAAGTTTAAATAGTTTATTTGTAGAAGCTGACATGTAGCTATTATATTACAGCGTCCTACTTATGGCTACCGTCTGTTGTTATATATAACCTTTTTTTAAACAGATCTTGATCACACCTCTCCTAAGTTGTAGTTTTAAAACGTTTCTTATCATTTCACTATATATGACCAACAAGGGTGAATCTCTTTTTAGACCAATCAGTAAATTTGTTTCCATTTTCATGCAGTAACCCAATCAGAATGCCTAGATTTTGATAAAAAGTACAATATATATCATTTTACATGAAGTTTTAGAAATTTAGGCATTCGGATTGGCTTTGCCTGAAAAAATGTAAATAATAAAATGAAATTCCTCCTTGTTTATATGGTTTCTTTTTGGGTTTAGCTTGCGCTGTAAGACTCTCAGGTTTTTTGCGGCATATATATCTTCGCTTTAGAAAGAAATTCGTTTGAATTTCAAAAAGAGCTGATAGTTTATGTTAACTTTTGCGACTAATGCTATTCAAACGACCCAGTATTGCTGTAGAACTATAGTATTTACACAAGAAGGTAATCCTGCTGAAGATCATGACAAACTTTGTACATGCAGCATTATCAAGAAATAAGAATTTGGTTTAATTGTTTCAGACACATATAGGTTCCTTTTTACTGTGTATATTTGGGACATATAGAGAATAATACCCGGATGCCAAAAATATAACATTTTTTCCAGTGTACGTGTAATTACACAGCCCAAATTTTTAATATTGTACCATTGGACGTGTTTATAGCATTTTCTAGATTTTTACCGTATTCTAAAGATTCACACGTTGAAATTTTAATGGTCATTTTCAGCTGAAAGGGGCAAGTATTTTTTGAAATTAAAGTCGTCTGCTTAACTACTTATGTGTGTAAGTGCATGTCACGGTTATTACAATTGCATTAATTACAGCTAACATTATTCACGATCCATTTTTATTCGTCTCTTTCCTGCATGACATCTCTGGTAAAACGTTTCAGACTGCGTTATACAAAGTTGGATAGAAACGGTTTTCACCCTATATAAAGGTTGTCTAACGCCTGTATTCTAAAAGCTCACTCACACTCAAACTCATTGAGTGGGAGATCTTAATCTTCTCATAACGTTTCAATGGCGGTATTTCCAGCCGAACAGGGGCTTGATTTTCAGTGATTTACCTTATATCTTTTCATCTATTCAGAAAAAACTTTCTCATTGATCAGCATTAACGAAATTTATATGTCACACTCGATGAGTATGAGTGTGAGTGAGCTTTTTGAATACAGGCGTAAGTCTCAGAAAGTCTAAGTGTCATGAGAAGCTTTGATCTTAAGGTGGCTCCCTGCAGTTTCTTGAAATTTTTAGATGTACATTCTAAACAGGGATTTTAAGCATCTAAATGTTTGACTAGAAGACTAAAATTTTACATACATATCTGGCAACATAAAGTTAAAATTAAAGTCGTCCGCTTCACTACTTATGTGTGTAAGTGCATGTCACGGCTCAAATCTATTCAGAACTGGTGCTTGGCAGCCGTTGCTATAGCAGCAGAGAGGTTTCCAAATGGCCGCCAAATATAGTTAGTTCGAGTTTATCATTGCAAACAAGTTCGGTGACCCTATTTTTTTTAAAAAAAAAAGTTATTTTGACCTCTTAAAAATATTGCACTAGACAATTTCAGTACCGATAAATAATCTATAGTTTGAAATTTTGATGAAAAAAAAATTCGGGGTCACGGAACTCGTTTGCAATATAAACTCGATCTAACTCTACTTGGCGGCTATTTTCAAACGTCCCTGTTGCTAGAGTAACGGCTGTCAAGCACAAGTACTGAATAGATTTCGGCTTTAGGTATATTACCAGAAAGGTATATAAAATTTTAATCTTCTCTAGTCCAAAGTTTAGATCCTTAATATTCCTGATTAAAGTGTGCATTTAAAAAAAATATCGAGAAACTGTAGGGATCCACTTTAAATAGTTTGTTTCTTGAAGCAAATAACTGTATATATGGCTGCTTTCTGCATATGGTCTGCGGTTTTGTATAAAATTTTGTACACTTTTTAATTATTTAAATTTGTTCGTGCTTATTCAAGCTATAAGTTTAAATAGTTTATTTGCTGAAGCTCATATCTATAGCTATATATATTACAGCTGTCCTACTGATAGCTATTGGTAATTTAATAATATTCATTTAAGCTAGAAGGTTCTGAAAATTTGAAGTTGAAAAAGTCGCCAGCTTCCCTACTTATGAGTTTAAGTGCATGTCAAGGCTGTCGCAACTTAATTTAATTTGCAAATTTTTCATTAAATACAGCGAACATCATTATCCACGTTCGATTTCTTTTCGTCTCCTTTCCTGGCCGCATCTCTGGTAAGAATTTTCAGACTGTATTACGCAGAGTTGGACAAGAGACGATTTAACGATGTTTCTAACAGCAACCTTGATCTTGCTATTGCTTGATATTCGAAGCATTTCTGCAAACCAATGTTCCATGAAGAGTTACGAAACGATCATAAGGGGTGAGACGTCTTTGCCGATTTTTTTAGTAAAAAGTATTGCCCTGAAACAGCGTTTAATACTTCATATGGTGAAAATAGTCCTTAATATAAAAGACATAAATTAAGTGGACATTTTTAATTCATTTTTCATTCGAATTTTGTTGAAATTTTTAGGAGGTCCCTCATTGCCTTCATGTGAGATAATATCAAGACACAATATCACATCTTCAGATGTCGTGTTAGGATGTCATACTCACTGCAAAAACGAAAAAGAATGTGTTGGGTTTAACTACAGAACAACAAAAAATGTCGAAAATTGCCAACTGACCAACGTTAATAGAAAGAAAGAAGAAACGAAAACGGGAGACTGGATATTGATGCGAGATATTGAGGCTGTAAGTTTAATAAATGATGTTATAATTTGGATAGCGTATAGTAGCAGTGAATTATCATGTAACAAGACGCCTGCTCAGGCATTCACTCGGGCTACAGTTATCTTGCTAGAGCTTGGCAAGTGTTATAGTATGTTCGTGAAACCCGCACGAGAAACGATCCTAGGACGATTTCGATTCGTTCAAAGACTTCGTGCCGCCCAACGCGTGATTTTTGTAAACTCGCGACGCAAAAGGCAAAACCGAGCCCGTTTCTCCACTCGATCCACCTACGGTAGCCGGAGTCATTACATAAACGGCAGTCAATACTCAATAGTCTGTTAGTCCCTTTCTCATTCTATAGCCCACAATTCGCGACTTTAAGATGCACCAAACCTACGTTGCGGACGTTACGTGAAAAGTATTTTAGGGTTAGAGACTCAGATTTAATTTTTTACAATCTTTGACTTTGTTTATACCAAAACGAGACGAAAATTTTAGTTCCGGTTGTGAGATTGTGGTGATTACAATAGTGTTAAATTAATTCACCTGCCCGTCGTTTTTGTGCCTTTTAATAAGATTCCACGAATCCGTAGAAATAGAATTTGATGGTAATTGCTTTACACAATAATGATTGTGTGGTTTAAATCTGCAGCTAAAATGTTTAACTATGTATATAGGTACTGCATTCTGATGTTTGGAAGCTTGTGGCTCGTTTTTCAAATCGTGACGGAGAAAATTGGATCAAAGATGCCAATTTCTGGTTTGACAAAACATCACCTTACGGAAGTACAACGGATCCTTTCCTGAACAAGGACATGATATCCGAAGCTTTTTGGGAAATACACGGAAATGAAATAAAAATAACCAGAAGTGATGATCCAACACATACAGCATTGTTAGAAACAACCAACAACTGTCTCAACGGAAAAACATTTCGACAGTTTATAACTTGTTTTGGAAACTTTCGTAATGGAGCTGTTTGGTCGAACAACAAATGCCTGGGTAGTTGTGAGATCAAATATGGCGGGTTATATCAGAGCACGACTGGATTTGGGATGCATAATTGCAGCAGTGATATTCAAAGAAATAACTCCATCGGCTTTTGGTGTAATTGGGGTGCTGATGGTGCAGTGATGATGATTGGTGGAGGTGGAGATGATTGCCGCAGGGCGGATCATGGGATTGGACTAACAGAAGAGGATGAGGCAACGTTTGGAGGATCTGAACCTTTTGTTGACTTTGGTGACGACTTAAATCATGACAGAAATTACGAGGGAAAGGAAGTGCCAACATCTTATGCGCTAAATTTGTGGATACGCTGAAGTACAGATTGGGTGGATTATTTTCACCAGGAATTTTTCATCATTTTATATATATATGCACATTTAAATAGCACACTAGTCTTTTGTAAATGCAATATGTAAGTTTTAAACTTCATGTTTACCGATATTATACTATAAATAGTTGTTGACTGCGAAATCGTGACTGTGGTCGAAAACATTTACTTTGACCGTTGATTATCAGAGCTTAAGCTATAGTTGTTTTAATTAAGTAATTTAATGATTTCAAGTGGAATAATTGAAGCTAGGAGAAGTCCATAATTCGGATCTTCACTGCGTATTACCACCATGCATGCCGTCATACCCGCGGTACAGAAATTCATCTAGAAATTTACGCTTTCCAATAGATATAAGTAATCCGCATAAAAGATCTAACCGTAATAACCAGCTTTGTATACTCGAAATATTTGGAGAATTTGAACGAGACGAAAAAAATTTCGCCTTCATTGCTTGTTTTTTAAGCTTGTATTCTTGCACATTCGGATAGCGATGAGCGATGTCGAATCAATGTTTCACCTTCTAACCATGGACAACAAATAGAGTATACCCTTGAAAAGGGCAACGGAAAGTTTCTCAAGTTTATATCTGTGCATCAATCTCATATGGAGCCATGCACAAGATATAAGTAACCCTCGCTCAAATATGATAAAAAAATAGAAGTTGCTTAGTAAAGCGGAATTTTCTTTGTGCCGTCAAACAGTTGGTAAATCAACTTCTGAGATCGCCAGGTTATAAAAATAACACAAAAATTATGTTAATGTTGTAAAGAAAACACAGCAGCAGTGAAAACAACCTCGTACCCAGAATCTTTCTCAGTGATTTGTATTGTTATACCATAATACTTGAGAAATATTTCACTTGAGTAGTGACAACAGTTCATCGATCATTTCTGGCCATGAACCCCAAATCGAATTCTGATAATTAAACAGTGTCGGAAGCACGGTACTAGAGGTAATTCCGCCCGGAGATTTTGGATTGCTAAAACGTTAAATTTACAAGATCTGCGAGTGCAAAGATCGACACTTTTTAGGTTAGTCGAGCTGAAACTCAGCCCGGGCTGAATACACTCCATGTAATCAGCCCTAAGGCTAAGACTTATATTATACACAAAATATTTATGGGAAAACATATTCAACTGCATAACTGAGCAATTAAAAAAATTGGTGTAAAAATTTCAGTTAAACTACATTAAGCTAACCGGCTTTTGAATAACCGGCCCTTGAATGATAATTCGTGGGTACGCTAAAGTATGGATTATATTGGGCTGATTCGCAAAGAATTTTGAATGCTTTAAAAGAACATTAATATAGCACATTTTTCTCTTGTAATTGCAATGTATGTAAACTTCACGTGTATGTATACAGACATTATACTACTAGAAATACATGCATGCATGCAGCAACCCCTCGCTATTTCAAACTAAGTACACAATCTCCTGAGCTAACCTGACCTAAACTTATAATTATGAAATGACACAAAACTCAAATCAATCTTATTATATTTTAGCTAATGTTTCTATCATTCGATACAAAAGTAATCATGAAGCTAGTGTAAACATTTCCCGTTCAATTTTGCTGCATTATACCATAGCAGCAAGTAAATGGTGGTTTAAAATCGAAGATTTAAAAGATTAAAACAGTACAAAATCTTCAGAGACAAAGAAAAAACCTCAAATTTTATTTCATTCTGTGATTACAGTCGACGGATAAAAAGTTTTATATTCATAATGTGCGGTATTTTTGATATGTCAAAATTCAAATTACGCTTTCAAAAACACTTTTTTAAGTTAAAGCAAAGGTGTAATAGCCTTTCACAGGTTTATGCGTTTGCATAAAAAGCTAAAAAATAAACAAATAAACGTCATACAAAGCTGAAAATTATGCAAATACAGCTCATTCGTACCGCGAAACAAATACGAAATAAACAAAGTAAACACGTTCCCTTTTAAAACACTTATAAGCTTGCAGATTATGAATTATTTCTCTTACACCGCTTTATCTTGACTGTATCCATGTTCTTCTTTGCTATTTGTCATGCTTCATCTTGTTTCTTCTCGTTTTATTAAGCCCAAAGTTTGTGAAAGGCTTTTGTTAAATTGCTGACGCGTTCTCATTGAAATACAAACTTTCTGTCGTAGCCAATCAGAACGTTGTTGATTACCAGTCGTTACTCGCGCATTCGCATACCTTACAAAACCATTGACCGTCCATGACATTCTTGGATTCCGCTATGTTCTCCCGGGTTCCGGGTGTAATTCCTAATCTCCCAGCGTAATTAGCACCCTCGCAGGCGCTCAGCGCCCGCTCGCGGGGATAAATCAATTGTTGAATAATAATGCCTATATCCCGACATGGTTAACAAACACAAGAGAGTCAATGATTGACAAAGGGTAACACTATATCTTTTGCTCTTCTGATAGGGCTTCGCTCTCTTTTCAATTTTGGAAATCCTTCTATTTTTCTCAATTTTGTCGAAAACCACGGATATGAGTTGTCGCCAGAAATTTTTTGTGAACTTTGTGAACTTTTAAATTCAAGGTTTCTCTATAATTTATTAACTTTCTCTTCTTACAAGACCTGGAATCACCGCAGCGTATGACTCAGTGAACCACAAGTCGCGTTTGTATCCGCTATTTCCCCGCCACCGCACTGACCGCACATTTATTTTGTGCCATGAATGTTTACGGAAATGAAAAATGCTTAGCAGACAAATATTTCATGCTAATGCAACGTCTCAATATTTTTAAATTACTCATGCAAATACAGTTTCATGTTGTGACCAATATCATAATTTAATTCACTATAGTACTGTAAATAATTTTAGAGCACTTCAACCCATCAAGATATGAATTTCCGAGTAACCTGCATGCAGGATAAAGGCCTGTTTGTGTTACATGATATTATTTCAGCTTTCTTCAGGCCTGCGTTAATACCTGATAGAAGGTACACAACATCATTACTAAATTTCGCCATCCGTAGAATGGGCGAATTTGTTGAATTGGCTACGATGGGCACTCTTGCCTCTTTTTCATTTATCATGATTCAGGACTACTTCGCTGACTCAACACACTCAGCCTGTCGTATTTTGTCAATATAGATTGCCTTTGTGAACCCTTGTAGACTTTGAACTCTGAGCGCGAAACTCGCACAAAGAAATAATGAGTTGTAAATTTGTGAGCGCTAAAAGTATTCGAATAATAAAATTGTATCAGAGCCAGCAGACTGTGTGTTGTGAATGTGAATCAAGCATAATATGATTTTATTGTCTTTTGCTCCTTTGTCCCCAATCTGACCAAACGTATCCATGTGTACTCTCAAAGCCTATTAATATCTTAATTTACTTACACCTGTTTCCGAATTTTTCAAGCGCTTACTGACGCTATTGGCAGAATTAATTATTCGGGAAATCCGGCGTTGACGAACGAAGGACTGAACTATTGGCTTTCCTCGATACAAGCGATCATTAGATTCAAGACGGCTAAAAACTCCTTGGAATTAATGGTCAAAGCTAGAAAAATCCCTGTACATTACCAATTCTATGAATTCAGTACAATAAGAAAACCTGCAACTGGCAATTAAGGGTTTGAATAATGGCGTTCGACATAACATGGGTCATGGCCTCATGGGAGCCTGGGAGGATTTGTGATTTTTCGCATCTGCCAAATGGTCTTCCAAAAATCCCAGTTATAAACTACAAGCCTGGATTATAAGAAAGATATGATTTAGAATATTTAGCAATTATTTCGCAGAAGGTGAAGTGATTATCGAGGTCATTATCCCCGATAAAATAATTTCTCAGTGATTTCCGAGAATAAAATCTGGTCCGAGCTAATGAAACTGTGACAGCATTCTGCCGAGTAGTCGTGTCGCCGAAAACACCATGCATCATCGCAAAACCTCAGTCTGGTAACATGCGTGAATTAAATATAACAAAGAAATATATATAGTACCTATATTAAAGGAGATGTGATCTATAAAATGACGATATTTTGCAAAACGAAAAAATATATTGTAATTGAATAACTCCCGTCAATGCTCAATAGTTGAAATTACTAATTTCTGTACAGTCACTACTGACAGTCTTTTATTGGGTTTGATGTTTGAAGCCTTTGGATTTTCTCTAGGGTCCTTCTAACCTGTCATAGAAAAACGAAAATCACTTATTATTGTTACCATATCAAAGATTCTTTGGTAAAGTTTTTGAGGAAATTTATCATTTTTGCTTGGTACCTGCGAACTTGATTCCGTTTCACAGTGCAGTTCTTTGTACATGCCGTATACCAAGATATCCGGTCTGAACAGTATGAAATATTATATCCTTGCTTAATTGCTTCATTTTGTCTGGTATATTTTGACATGAGATGGTTGAACTCGTTTTAACAAAATGGGAAATCATTTCGAAATCTGCCGAATATAAAGATTTCTACTTTGTGTTCAAAATACTCCTTGTGACATTGTTATGGTAAGTAAATTAATTGTAATATTAATCAAGCATATCTGTATTGCTTGACATTCGGTGATTATATTGACTTATAGCATTGAATAATTATATTGCGTTATAAACTTCAAATGCCAGTGTTTATTTTGTATTTCGTGACTGAAGTTAAAGCATTTAGTTGCCTTAAAGTAGATGGGATGAATACAATGTGTTGATATTCGATATAAATCAATCAATGTATTACATGTTGTTGAAGACCAATGGCAAGGGGTATTATATGTTTATACGAGACTATAAATATGCCAGACTTTTGGCTTCCAACATGCATCATACATGCTATTCTATTACTGTATTATTTCATGTTCATCTTTGTATATATAATTTCATTTATAACAATAATTTGTTTTCATACGAAGAAACCCTCGTCTGATTTACTTTTACAAATATACTATATGGCTTGGTGTAATAAAATATCCGATTTCAGTAATAAACCAAGCACGCGACACTGTGCATGCTGTCATGTGCAATGGCGATAAGCACAAAGGGCTATTCATTATGGATTACTCTTGAACCATCCTAGTGATTGTTCAGCTCAGCCTCTCTTATATTATATGATACATTATATACTCGATTCGGTTTCTTGATCCATCTGGAGAATTTCCTGTATTCCCATGGTTCTGATAGCCGGTAAAAATAATGCTAAATGTATGTAGGCAATATGCCAGTGGTGTCTAGACACGCGCTCTGTGATGACATGACAATTTTATTTGACAACTGAAAGATTGTCACTATCTAGATTTTTAGAAAGAAAATCGCCTCTTCTCTTGATGGTGTAGCGAGCAGTCTCAATATCGGGCATGTGTAAGTGGCGTACTTTGTAAAATGTAATATGGGATTTAAAGCTCATTCAGATTAGGTTGAACTTACAAATTATTAAATCCCTAAGCCAACGAATGAAATTATAACATTAGTTGTGAACGGATATGCATGCTTGCGGGAATCGACCGAATCACAATCGGGAAATAAGCTTTACAGTTCGCATTGCCAAAAAATTTGGATCATTATAGATGGTGGCTAGCGATTTGTAACATGGAGATAGATTAATATGCATGGAGATTAATATGGAGACGCCGGATAAATTCTGATGGAGCTAATACTGATATATGTACACTCGATCTAATTTCACCATTCCGTACGCTGGGCTTATAGCCAGAAATCGACCACAAAGTATTTCCCTCGTAGTATTTGTCTTAAAGCGGCCTTATTTATTGCATTATCTATAGTAATTCTCCGGCAAGAGCTTTGTAAGTAAGTTCGTCAATTCAGGCGCCTATTCACAGTCGACGCAACGCCGAAGTGCCAGACTATATAGCGACGGCCCTTTCACACTTCCCCAAATGCTTGAAATGAGGAATTTCAAATTGCATTTTTTGTGGTCTTTTGCAAGTGATTTAAATTAAAAAGAAGCACCCATTGATAATAATAACAAGGAAAACTGCATATAATTGTAGTGCATATAAGTACATATATTAGTAAAAAAACAACTGACAATTTCAAAAAATACAAGACAAGGCGAAATCCCAATACAAACTGGTCTAACCAGTCTGATGATATTTTGTAGCGAATATAATCGAAATATCACGAATTCGTCTTTGTCTTGTATTAACCTAAATTTTGGATTTCAAGATGTTAATTTTCGGAATTTGCTTTGTCTGGTATATAATAGTAATAGTTCTGTCTTCTGGTGGTAGTCAAAACACCGTTAAACACGTATCTAAAAGCGCCATTGAGAGGATGTTAGTACTTGACTTTAAGGACTAAATGCATGGGTAAAAACACGTCATCATAAGTGTTCTCAAAGCTTGGGTCTCAAGGTTGTGAGGAACCATTTGATGTCAAATTAAACATGCAGAGGCAAATATAACCTAAGCAGTCACAAGAGCGAGTGAGAAAACATCCTTGAGTACCTACTCAATGAAACCAGATTGTTAAAACAACTGATTTGAAAGTGTTTGTCTTTTTGATCTGTTCAATATCTCTATTCAGTAAAAACAACCAAAAAACTGTTTTTAACGGAGTTCTTTAGTTATTTTAACCAGTAAAAAATTGGTCCAACAAATAAAACTGAGGTAACCAATTTTAAATTGGTACTCTTTTTATGGCGAATAATCGGCGCTTTTTCACTTCTACGGCTAAACATGCTTTCGAACCATTTGATAGCTATATTTATGATTATTTCGCTCCAAACAGGCTGTTAACAAACAAACTCGAAATTAATATGAGTAAGACGTTTCTTAACGTCGGAAGTAAATTTAGCCGTTTTATACTGTATTTTATTCTACTTTTGAACCATATTCTCGTGTTTCACGTGACGTTAGGGAGTTTGAGCAAGGCAACGAAGTACGAAGACGAAGACAAACTTCACAATTTTTTAACGTCTGCGCATGCTCCGCTTAAGGTCAGCTGTGAGGGTTTAACGTCTTCGTCCTGTTGTCTTGGTTTAGGACGAATATTTTTCGTTGTGGTCAGAACAAAGTTTTCAAATCTCAGTTCTTGTATGGAATATAAATGTTGTTTGAGATGTTTAAACCGTAAAGAAGCATAACATCTTCCCCTTCCAAAGTATCTTCCGAAAACATTGCTAAAATAGCTATCTCGTATTCAGCTATGTTCATGTTTACAAAGTTAGTGCCGTGTTTGTAGTCGTATAACTTTGACAGAACTGCTCAATTCAAATATCCCGCTGCACGAAGACTTAACACGAAGACTACTATTCTCAGTCTACCTTGGCCAAACACGTCTTCGTCTTCGTACTTCGTTTCCTTGCTCAAACTCGCTATCATAAATTCGAGAGGGGTCAGATCGAGAGCAATACACAGTAATCAATCGCAGTGAGTTAGTTATTTACTGTAGGTTAGTAAAACGAGGCTAGTAAAAACTTGTTGATTGCTAAATTAACAAAAAAGACAACGCATTCATTATAGACGAGCTAAGGATATTTCTTGCTAATGTAGATTCCACTTCTTAGATTTTCTAGAATACCGACGCTGCATATCGATGTGCTAAAACATGGGTGAAGATAGACGCTGTTTTACCAAAAATCAATTGAACTTTTTCCGTGTTTGCCATTTGGCGACAAATGTTTTACCCCGTGAACTTCGCGAAGTGTTTGTTCAGCAGTGGAACTTACTGTACTCCAGACAATATGGTCCGTGGATCAATAATCCCAAAAATGGTCAAGACTTCGTTTCTTTGGAATCAGAAGCCAACAAAAGGCGAAATAGAGAAATGTTGAATCGTATGGGAAACGGCGATGTTGAATCTTGGGATTGCACGATGCTCTTTTATGCACTCCTCTATTCCACGTCAGTTGGTAGAAACACAGATGACGAAACTCGCGAGCACGTGAACAAATTACGAGAGTTCAGGAATGTATCATTTGCCCACGTGAACAAAGGCGAAGTAACCTCTGACGATTTCCAGGTCATCTTAAACAGGATTCTTCAAGCTCTTCTGGGATTACGGCGTGATACCTCTCCTGTGAAGAAAGTTCAAAATTTAAATTCCTTTTCCACTGACGAGGTTTATGAACTTCAAGGGAAACTTGAAGCTGAAAAGATTGCGCAAGAGGAAATGGAGAAAAGGCTTTGTAATCTTGAAGATAGGGTGACGAAGCTTGAGAAGAAATCGTGTTTCGCTGACTACAATGACGAATATGAGTACTCTAATATAGTTGATTTGACTTTGAGAAAGAACAAATTTCTCGCCCCAATTTTGAATTTACCAGAGAAACCTTGTCATCCCGTTCTTCGACGTCACCAAGTGAACGAGGTTATCAAGACTTTATATGATCTACGAATCATGCACGATGATAAAATCACGTTGGTTTATGTTATCGGGGAGCCTTTATCTGGAAAAACGGAATGTGTCAGGCAGGTTGGTCAAGCCTTGGTGAAGCAAAAATCAGTCATTGCAACTATTCGATGTAGTTGTATGGAAACATTCGCCTCATCCCTAAAACAACTTGCGCATAGTTTGGGATTTCGAGAAGAAAACTTTCCGTCTTTCCATAAAGCTTCACTTACATCGCGTATTGAATTGCATTCGTTGTTCGTGAAGGAGAAATTATCGGGATTGCCATGGTTAATCATATTGGATGATGTAATGGAGGAGACCAAGGAATTGTTAAGTTACATTCCTCAGCCCGGAGATCAAGGTAAATATGATAATAAGTTCTGACATTGTAGTAATAACCAAGCAGACCAACCTTTGTTTCAGAGTTGTGGATTCAAATATGTACGCTATACGCCATATTGTATGACGTCTCATTAGGCAAAATCTAGTATATTATTTGGCAAGATTACTACACAAGTTCGCAAAGTATCCTGACATCGCAAATTAAAGTGACTGTTGAAAATCCTCAAACATATTTTTTCTTGCTCAATTTTGATTTGTATGAATGTCAACCCTGCTCTGACGACACTTTAGATCATTAGATGTAAATTTAAACAGTGATGGCAGTTTTTTTTATAATTACATGCAAGTATGTAAAAGAAATAAGAGCTAAGATGCTAATGAAAATTGATACTATTTTGTAACAATTTTTGAAATTCCTTCAAGTGAAAAATTTTGGCTATGCAATAGATCTTTTTCATGATGACGTCAAACGCGGAAAATATGATGTTACACGAAGATTGATTGGCTCGATAGTTTTTTGGAGCTAATCAAATTTCATGTAAAATACTTTCCGCGTTTGACGTCATTATAAGAAAGGTCTATTAGCAGTGAAGTTCCCGTTCGATATACTATCTGTACCAAAGTTTGGGGGCTTTTTAGCAACTAACCTTTTTCATAATGACGTCAAACGCGGAAAATATGATGTTACACGAAGTTTGATTGGCTCGATAGTTTTTTGGAGCCAATCAAATTTCATGTAACACCATACTTTCCGCATTTGACGTCATTATAAGAAAGGTCTCTTAGCAGTGAAGTTCCCGTTCGATATACTATCTGTATACCAAAGTTTGGGGGCTTTTTAGCAACTAAGTTAATAAATGAATCAAAATTCGCTTTTAATTAATTGCCATAATTAATTAAACCATTATTTAAATCTTTAGGTACAGGTCAGATCATTGTCACAACGCCAGACCGTTCTTTGCTTACTGATAATCCGTGCTCGGTTCCAGTGGTTCTTGATAGGCTGACCTCGTCTGAATCAATGCAGTTGCTATCACAACTAAGTGGTGATATCCCGCAGGATCTTGCTCAATTTGTATCAGAAAAATTGAAACTACAACCGCCTCTTCTTGTATCGGCAGCAAAACGCGTAGACCTTTTGTCGAAAAGAAAGAGGAAACCAGTTGGCGAAACATGGACGGAAGTACTGGAAAATATAAAAAGTCGTTACAAGGAAGAAGAATGGCCGTATTATATTTCAGCGTTGGATGAAAAAACTCGCACTTCACTGGAGTCTGTTGCTCTGACGGTTATCGGTCGAAGCCTTGTCATCGAAGAGTGTTTCCATGTACTAGTCTTGGCAAAAGGATCTTATTTGCCTCTTCAGTTTGTCACTCGATTTCTTGCAAGTAGCTTGAACCTTACAGATAAAGAAGTTGAACAAACACTCCGAAATTCACCACTTCTTCACGTACATCCTAACGATAACATTGCCATCAGTGGTGTTATTTACAAAATATTATGTGATCTGTTAGCTTCGGCTGTAAGAACAGAACGCATGATCCGCCGTTTAAGAGGACTATGCAAATTTTGTGTTTCAAACACACATGATTCTGCTATTGGGAAAGTATTCAAACTTTTGTCTTCGAAGATTATGCAATATTTAGCATTGCTAGATCTCTGCTTTCCAGAGTGTGAAGAACAGAGAAGCCTTCACTATGATTTAGGAAAGGTATTCCTCTGTGTTCTGGTTGACTATAGCTCGGCTGTTCGTTGTTTCACGAAGGCAATTTCGATATTTGAAGGATCAAACGATATTTCTCATCCGGAATATGCGCAGCTGTTGGCCAGTTTGGGAAATGTTCTACGATTAACTGGAAGCATGGAAGATGCTTGTAAGTACCTGAGCAAATCATTGAAGATCTTGAAAGTAGTTTTGCAAGGAAACGTCACGGAGGATGTTGCAAGTTGTTTGAGCAGTTTAGGCCTAGTGTGTCTCTCGCAAGGTAAAATAAACTATGTTGTTTATTAATCTTAAGGCCCGTTTATTCTTGTAATTTTAGGTGCGATGTTATGTGTGATTTTCTTCTTTTGGTGGATGTAAACGAATACCTAATTACGAATGGTCTGATGTATAAGAGTCCTTATTTGAACTTCCGCAACTAATTCACTCGTTCATATCTATCGAAAGAAGAAAATCGCTCATAAAAACGCAGCAGTTTCAGTCAGTAATTCCATTTTGATCAAAACGGTGGAGTGATGTGTGAAACAAATGTGTGAGCTTATTTTATTGAAAACCTGTATTAAGGTGATTCTCCATTGTGTATTAAGGCGATGCTCCGCCTGCGCGGGCGAAGTGCGCTTTGTTTTTCAGGCCCGTCACAGTCACATGGACAGAATCTCAAAGCCCGCTTCGCTCTTGCGGGTGTTGTTTGTTAAGCTAGTTTTTGGCCGAGTTGGTTATTCAGAGTAGCACTAATACAATACGTTCAGGTCCAGCGGCGTAACTAGAACGATAATTGGGGGGCGGGGGTTGAATATTCATATATCCAGTTCTGCCCTACGGATTACTTTTGTGAGTGTAATAGCTTACAATAAAAATCCGTTGCCAGAACTGATTGGCTTAACATTGAGAATTGGAAGTTCAATGGATAGCCACCATACCTAGTATTAGCTACCATTGTCACTAAACCGTCCTTCCTTTCATTCAGGTAACACGGATCGAGCCAAAGAGTTGCACTATCGCGCTTTGGACATTCGTGAACAAATCCATGGCAACGACCATATTACGACAGCAACCAGTCTTAACAACATCGGCGGAGTGTACCATGAGTGTGGCGATTTGGCAACAGCGAAAGATTTTTACTGGAAAGCACTTGAGATAAAAGGTCGAAACTACGGTTGGGATTTTCCTCACGTTGCCAACAGCTTTAATAATATTGCCGAGATTTCACACGAGCAGGGTGACCTGTGTGGTGCGATATCCATCCACAAACGCGCATTGAAGATTCGTCAGCGTCTCTATGGTGACGAACACCCGGATGTTGCTAATAGTCTGAATAACATTGGGATTATACATCATCAGTTGGGGGAGCTGTCCGCGGCAAGGAATTATCATAACAAAGCATTGAATATTCGAAAGCGTGTCTATGGCAAGGAGCATCCAGAGGTAGCATGCTCTTTGAACCGTCTGGGCGAAGTTTACTATGATGAAGGTAATCATTCTTTGTACTGACTTAAGTGTACTTCAGTGAATTATCATTTTGCGTTGTAAAATCATATATATTAGAACTTGTAAAACTTATAGTTACTAAAACAGTTAGTATGTGACGGTTTTATGTATAAGGGTGGAAATTTTCTTCCAACCAATAATTTATTCTCCTTTTAGGCGACCTGGCAGCCGCAGAGGATTGTCATACCCAGTCCCTTCGCATTCGACAGCACCATTCAGTGACGTCATGTCATCGTGAAGTTATTTCGACCTTGCATAATCTGATGATGGTATACATCGCGGACCAAAAGATTTCCATAGCAACGGAATATGCTTACGAGGTGTTCAAAGTTTGTGAAAAGATACACGGTATGCGAGATTCTAGGACGGTGAAAGCTTTTAGGAAATTGACGGAGCTTTCCAAACGACAGTCTCATGGACAGGGATTTGATTTATCTGCAGCTGTGCACGAGCAGGTTGAAAGATTGTCGTCTCTGTAACAGTGCAACGACGTTTCAGGAAATTTCCTGTTCCGACGGCTGTAATTCAACACTATTTTGTGGGGATTGCTTTGCAGTCAGTTGAACAATGCTACAGTCAATATGAATTAGAAAATAAGAGAAACGAAAATGGATGATTTTAGATAGTTGAGGGAAAATGGTAATGTGGTTCAGAGATGCATTTGCAAAACGAAATACTGAAAATTGGGGATAACGTATCCTAATTGCGAATTCAATTCACTTCTGACGTAGGGAATGTAGTATGCTATTGATAAAGCAGTACTGCATTGGCTTCAGTGTATTTGCTCCTCATAAACATCATAAGACAACAGACTATAAAACATCCATTAGAAGTGAATTGGATCCAATATAGTTGGATGGTGTGAATAGACCTTAATATTACTAAAAACTAATTAGATTTGTGACGACAGTTTATCACGAAATATTTTTGGACTTTTTTACCTTCTGACCATGATTATCAACTCTAAGCTTACGTTTAAGCCCGTTTTCCACAAGGTAAGCGAGAAGAGGCGGAAAGACTAATAAAATTCGGCTAGGCGTTAACGAAAAGTATAATAGACCTTTTTCATAATGACGTCAAACGCGGAAAGTGTGATGCTACACCAATCTTGATTTGTTCGATAGTTTTGTGGAGCCAATCAAATTTCGTGTAACATCAGACTTTCCGCGTTTGACGTCATTATAAGAAAGGTCTATTGCTGGAATCATTTTTTGCTAGTGAGTCACTTTGCTGAATATACTTTCGCAAGTCGACCTATAACTCGACCTGGTGAAAAGCGCGGCTTTGAGGTTGTGATTGCAAATAGTTTTAATGATGTGATGATGCTTCTAAATTGCAGTTTAGATCTGTTTATGGAGATAACCTTGTTCTTTTTATTAGTTTGTGTTAATAACGAATGTTGAAGTTAGTGATGTCATGTATAAAGGCGGCGAGTGCTGCACTATGCAACTTTTTTTGCAATCTTGCAACTGAAAATGCATTTCTACTCCTGAGGCATAACAACTAAACGAACATTCTTACGAACTTCTAACGTTTTCATAGCACTTCGTAGACACTTTACAAATTATCATCCCTCAAAATTATTGCATTATTGCATTGCAAGTTGCAGGAAAATTTGCTTATTGTTTGATCAAGACTTAAAGCTATTAATAATGTGTTAATTTTAATGATAATTGACGTTTTGCAAGTTAAGCCTAACTAGGTAAATATTTAATAAACGTACTCTTTATATTCACAGACTTCATTCCTGGGTGCACATGTTACAAAAGGAATATAGTATGCAGGGGGGGGGGTTCTCGCATTGTAATTACAAGTAATATTTTACAGTGCGATTAAAGCGCTGAGGCCGGTTGTATCAAGTCCGTTTAGCTTAAACGGTGGTTAAGTTAAAAAAAAAAGCAAGTCAATCGTTTTATTCAAGAAGCAAACTAAATGTTTTTAACCTTAATACAAAGATGCTGTTCATAACTACATATTATTTAATTTTGACTTATCCGCCGTTTAAGCTAAACGGGCTTGATACAACCGACCCCTGATAAACCACGGAGAGTGCAAACGCTCAGCAAAGTTTCATTTCAGCGAATGCGAAGGGAAAATTGTTTACTTTAATCGGCGAGACCTGGCTATTTGTATGGTACTTTCATACTTTTAACTCGAAAAGTATTTCTCGTTCTCTTTGTAAATGACACGATAGTTATGAAATTTTCCAGCTTCATTCACACTTCACGCGTTTATGTCAAAACAGAAAATCGCCACCGTACCGTAGTGCAACATGGAAAAACGATTTATCTCAACATTTAGTCGTAGAGACCTAAAATTCGCATGCGTTTCTTGTAGCATTTTGGGTACTGGCGAAATTGCTTCTAGACGATACTATCTACAGCAAGCCGCCCACAAAATACAAAAATTTGCAAGAAATAAGACGACCTCCCGCTATTAACCTTTTATACGCACAATAAAATATGCCAACGATCCGTGTAATGAGTTGCAAATATTTTTTGAAGCAAATTCTTCATCACAAAACATATACGGACAGTGAAATTCATTCAAGTCACCTCTTGGTAGAAGTTTTACATTTCTTTTCATTTAAACAAGTAAGTAGATCAATCCAATATATTTCTAATATGGTCCAATGTGCTTCAAGGAAAGCAAAAAGTAAACTAAAAAAGATGATTTTACCCGAGGGAATATCAGAGGCAAATTAAACAAACATAGCACGCAATAATTTTGTTCTCTAGCGAAAAAGTTCATTTGAATTATTTTATTCTTCGCTATTAACTAAACTTACTGATGTTATACCCAATAGCGAGGAAACTCCTTATCTTAGCAAAACATTATAAGGCCAATATAAGTTAAGCGATTAATGTTTATATAATTTTATTGGCCTCGCCAAGTGTCATTATTCTGACGTCTGAGTTATTTCATAACACCGATATAATGCCGGGCATCGAAGCTAGCATCTGAGCTTGTCATACTAGTACTGCTCTACAGTATAAAATACTTTTACTCACCAGTACTGTTAATACTGCTAGTATTGCAAATCCACTAGCACTGCACTTACACCCAAGAAATGATTAATGTCTGGTATAATAACCAGTGCATGTATTTCATATTGGTTTTCTTATGAGTGAGAGCTTTCCAATGACTCTTTATTGAGAAAACCTGTACCTAGAATCCTATAATACGAAATATACAAATGTAAATCGTATATCCGTTGTGTTTAAGAAATAATTGAGTTAATAAATATGGGCTTCATTAAAAAGTTCTCATTGGTTTCTTAAGAAATTATATACATGGAGTCTAGTCAATATTTTATTGAAGCCAGACATATAATGCTATTAATTAAATGGGGCATTGTCCACTAAGTGTATTGCAAACATGGCTTCATGTTCCTGTTGATCATAAAATGAACATGCATTTCAATATCTTCGAGCAAAATCGCTTCTAGAAAAAGGTATTTAAAGTATTTATAATTTTGGCAGGAGCAGGGGGGTCATGATAACTTTGTTGGTCTGTTGGCCGAGATTTATATTTGTACGTCAGCAAGTAATAGCTTATTAACAGACACTTTTTGACCTGCATGTGCACTGTAAAAACAGCTATCTCAGGTATATAATTAACCAACATTCATCCGTTAAAACAATCACGAGTTTTGTTTTATTCAACCAAAGTTCTGAAAGTAATGACAATAATTTATATGTAATTATATCGTATTCATGCAGACCCGTTTACACGTGCAATTTCAGCTGCGATTTCATGTTCGACTCCTTTACTTCATTATATATGGGAAAGAGTGAATTAATAATTTTCTTGTATGATTGCATGGCGACTTTAGTAATTATAATAACTTGTAGGTACACCACGTAAGTATTAAATACTGCAAAGCTTTCGGTCCGTTAACCCGGACCTTCATCAGTGCAATTACTTGAATACACGTTTGCGCGTCACTGGACAACTGGACAAGGTAAACTGGATAAGTCTGCAGTAGCTCACCATGCATGGACTTATGATCATCGCATTAAATGGAACGATGCTACCATTTTAGCAAACGATAAGTTTACTGTCTCTCGTAAAATGAGAGAATCTATTGAAATTTATAAACATCAAACTATCGTCCAAGAGGGAAAGCCACTTAATAGTACGTGGCGTGCTCTTTTCGGTGTCTCTTAGTCAAATACTTGTCTAGGGCGCGCGCATTAATTAGAACTTAATTAAATGAAACCGTTTAATTAATAGCGCGAGCAAACTAATCACGACTAACATGATATTTAAGTGACGCGCAAACGTGTATTCAAGTAATTGCACTGATGAAGGTCCGGGTTAACGGACCGAAAGCTTTGCAGTATTTAATACTTACGTGGTGTACCTACAAGTTATTATAAGAGTGAATTAGTTACGGTTGTTCGGCAATAGGAGCTCTTAAACATCAAACCATTTGCAACTAATAAGTCCTAAAATCGGGCAAGACCAAGACTAACTATAAAGGAAACATGATTACTAGTCTTTACTCGATCATAGCAATTTTTTTGCTAATTTCTGTGGCAATCTGCGTTTCTCCCTGCATGTTAGCACTATCCACCCCAGGCTTTGCATGCTCGTCTCAAATCACAAATGTTTAACTCTTCACTATTGTCTTGTCACAAAGACGCCTATCCATTGCAAGTCGATTACATATTAACGCCAAACATTTAACCTTGGGGGTGAAAAAAGGTAGCCTGCTCGCAGACTGAATTAGGGGGCCGGGCTAGAAAAAAGGAAGCAATCGTCCCATATATAATAATGGACTGATAGTGTATATTCTATATATTATATAGCTGTGACCATGTTACGCCAATTTGCATACCTATTATTCCTGGTTTTTCTCTTTGCCACGAACAGTGTAAAAGGTAGGTCAAAAATTCCATTCTTGCTTCGAGCCCTATCCATATACACATTGGATGAACTCATAAAATCCTATGTGACTATGTGACTATGTCACCCCCTCCCGACTTACCAACTGCATTTTTCATTCCGGCGTTCTAATTAAGTCAGTTGATAATGAGAATTCCCTAGATGACTAGATGTTTTAACTGTTATTGACTAAATGGTTTTCCGATGATACAAATCAACAGCCTCTCTGTATAGGCTTGTAATCACCCAGCCGGAGGCGACTAATTGTTTAGTATAAATTTCGAGGTGTTTCACCGGCCAGTGACTATCACTTCAGAGACAGTTAACTGATCTTGATCAATGATCAATCAGAAAGCAGGAAAATCAATAGTTTTCCACCTCAAAATTTGTACAAAAAACAATTAAATTGAGATTTGTATGGTTTAGATATTTTTACTTAAATATACATGAAAACTGCGCAGCCCTCACAGATACATTATGTAGTGAGTCACTCGTGTATCTTTGACATTATTTTAATTCTTGTTTCATCCACACTTTGATAGCTGATGACTACAATGATAAAGTTATAATTATAATATCAGTGGCTGCCGTCTTGCTTGGATTATCCGTCATTTTACTCATTCTCGCAGGTTGCGGGATTTATGCTTTGTAAGTATATGAGGAGTTGACTGACTATAGTATGCATCATTTTTTATAGCACATCCGAAAACCAGTTATTCATTGAAATGCAGCAGCTATAGCTTCAAGACTGCATTTTATTTTTATATAACCAAATTTTAACGTTGACGCTCTATTTTGTCGTTAATTTAAGTCAGGCAACCGATTATTGGGAAAATCACTAATTTCAGACATAGATTACACCATACTAATCAGGGGATGAGGGAAAAAAATTGCTAGATCATTAGACAATAACTATATAAGATAAGTAAAACAATACCGTCTTTGACTGCGGAAAAATGAAAGTGAAATTAAGTTAGGTAATTAATCAACGGTTGCATATTCGCTATGTAACATACATCATTACTTTTATTTATTTTCAGGAGATACAAGGAAAGAAAATAAAAGCATAATTTGGAACGAAAGAAAGACAGTCGAAGACAATCGTTAATTAATAAATTTGCGTAGAATAACAAGCATTCTATGGCGGAACTAAATTTATCCACTTTAAAAAACATAATCTTGTTAAACTTTCATACGACATTATACTGTTAGGAACCGTTAGTTTAGTTTCATACTGCAATTGTCAGCATGTAGTATATTTGTGTTCAATAATCACTATTCATCAGTTTCATTGATCTACGAAGTCATCCGTGATTTTCAACGGTGGAAAATGAAGCATCTGTTATATTTTTGGTAAGCAGTAAAATGCCACACCATAAATAGGCGAACAGTGCAGGTAGTAAATGGGGAGTTGGGCTATCAGTTAGAGACACTGAGTCATTCGCGCAGATCCCCGGACATTTGTACCGTTTACAGTATGCTTGATGTTGTCAGTTGTATTGTTCCAAGTAAAAACCCAAGTGGAGAATCTTGGGTGCGAAGTTCATAATCATAGAGTCTGATAAAAAGAGAATAAGTAAACTGCAAAAAAATTTTTTTAATTTATTCCAATTTTTTTTTGCTCTGATATTGGGACCATTCAGGCGTTCAAAAATGGCGTTCAAGACGCTTCGGAGCGGGGACTGCTTTAGACACGGTTGGTGCTTTCCTACCCAAATCGGCCATAGCCCATAGTTGAAGTTGACTGGGAGTCTGGTTTTTGCAGTGAACTGGTGTTTGTGCCGCATATTGTGCAGTTGTGCTGCATTGCAACAACCACATGAAGTATTTGCAATAGTTTTTAAAAAACTGCGGGCTCGCAGCACGTTGAATTTACCATTTGATATGGCGGGTTTATACTGTGCACAAGGTCTTTGGTCGTAATTTTTTACTTTTTCTGCTCGTTGAACTTACTATAATATTGTTAATATGTCTCGCAGAAGTGCCAGGCTTGCCGTGAAATCCGTGAGCAACGAGCGAAAAGAAAATATTGCAACTGAATTGGAATCAGGCGAGCCACTTATGGCTACCCCAAGTAAAAAAAGACGTCCAAATCTTGGCAAGAAAACAAAACATGCAGCTGTAAAAGTCAACGAAATTGAAGAACATTCAAAAAATCTTGAGGATAAATTACCAATAAAACAAGAAGTTGGACATGAAGCAAGTCATATCAAAACTGAAGACCAAAAATCTCTGAACAAAATTACCAAAGAAGAGAAATATGTTGGTGCTCATGTATCTATTAGTGGAGGCATACATTTATCTGTTGAGAGAGCATTGGCCATTGGAGCAAAATCATTTGCTATGTTCCTACGGTCACAGAGACAGTGGAATGCAAAGCCTTTAAGCCAGAGTGATGCTGATCAGTTTCGAACAGCATGTGAAAAACATGGATTCTCCCCAGATTCGATTTTGCCACATGGCATATACCTTATGAACTGTGGTTCTCCTGACTGGGAGACCTTGAGTAAAAGTCGTCAAGTGTTGGTTGAGGAATTACAGAGGTGTGAAATGCTAGGATTAACATTGTATAACTTTCATCCTGGTTCAACTTGTGGTAAAATATCTGTTGACAAGTGTTTAACCCTTATTGCTGAAAGTATCAACCTGGCACATCAGCAGACAAAGTATGTCATTGCAGTGTTGGAGAATATGAGTTGTCAAGGAAACACGGTAACCAATTGTTTGTTGTACGTATTTTATTGCCTGACACATTTAGAGTGTTGGATTTTTGTTCAACTTCACCTTCTGTGGTATATTTTTGTTTACTGTAATAACCTGGCATTTGGTTCCTATTAATAAATAGGGCCTGACAAAAAACCTGTCTAAATTATAGGACACCTACATTTATTTTTAGAATAAGCGTGAACGTAATTGGCAATTCACAAGAACACTCATGAAACTACTAAATAACACAAAACATGGAGGATTTTCATTTAATGTATACTGCAATAACTTTTTATGATGTTTCATTAGATGATATGTTGGGTGTGCATTTTTAAATGTCAAAATTCAAGGCCCTTTTACATGTAGAGGAAGTTTTTTTTCTCAGTCTGAATAGCAAAAAACAATTTAGCTAGTTAGAAATCATGTATGTTCTAATATAACCAGGGAGCAGTGTGGCAGCGTCTTCAAATAACTTAGCATCAAATGTGGTATAATAACTGCCTAAAATAGACAAAATACTTCTCGACGTTTCAACCTGAGGGCCTTCATCAAGAGAGTTAGTATGAAAATAAATAGGAGAGAATACATGTTTTGTATGGCGGCAAACCATTTTCTTCATGTGTTTTGCTCCCATACAAAGCATGTATTCTCCCCTATTTACTTTCATACTAACTCTCCTGACGAAGGCCCTCAGGTTGAAACATTGAGAAGTGTTTTGTCTACTTGACATTTGATGCTAAGTAGTTAGAAATCAATTTGAACCAACTAAAATTATTATCCATGTGGATCCACCCATTAGATTCTCATCTATCAGATGAATTGGAACCCTATGATTTGGTCAGGTATTTACTTCAAGGGCTTCACTTTAATGTTACCTTACTGCAAGTGCTGAATCCAGCTTGGTTTTTAGGGATCTCCTGGGTGTGAACCATGTGTCAGGAACCTGGCAAATCTAAGAACAGTTCAGTAACTGTAGTAGGAATACCTTGGTACAATGACACATTTTCAATGCATGTGCCCCTACCAATGATTAGTTTTAACCTTGTTAATGGTATGACCTTGTGATGTTAATCACTAGGACCATACATAGGCTCACACAAATTGGTCAATTGGAAGGGGGGGGGGACGAGCTAAAATTTCCAAATGGCAAATTTCAATATTTCAATATTTCTTGACATGTATCAAGATTACTTAAGAACACAATCCTAATAAAATTGAATTTTCTGATTATTACATAATGGAATAAACATAAGTCGTGCTGCACAATTGCCCCATCCAATACCTTTTTCAGCAATGCCCTGTTAATCATGAATAAAGTGAATGCCCAGTAGATCAAATGTCCAGCCTTTGGCCAAATTAAGGGACAGAGAATAGAGAGCTGGAACTACTCTAATAATGTTATGTTTTATTGTTACTAATATTGATTACATTTCAAGGATACACTGCCTAATACACTGAATAGATCATCAAATAATATACAACCAACATTCCACTTAATTTTTACTATGATATTATACATACTTAATACACTATCTACATAAATGAAAAAATATATCCTGAATTTATTATATACCACTTTGAACTTTGAAATATGATTTTACATGTACATATAAATCACAATTTAGGGGGTTTGTTTTTGTATGCATTGCATTTTATAGCCAGATATTCCCTTGCAGCATTGCAGTTTTATTGACAGAGTATAAAATGTTTCAGCGATTCCACAATGTAGTATACAGAAAAGTGTAATAAGTTTATTACAGATCTATATTCAAGGCTATTTTTAATTCTTATGTTCTTGGGATCCATATGTTTTATATATGTATTGTACTTATTACAACTATTCCAATTTAACAGAGCATTTTACTGTATCTGTATAATAATAGAGGTGTTAAAAATGTTCCATGTTTTCTTCATTTCAGCAGAAATTTCACCTGAATAGAATTTCCACTTTCGCAGTGCAATATTATACACTTAATGTATGCCTCAATCAGATGGATTTAGTGAGTTTTCCCGAAGGTTTTCATCCTATTTCCAGAGGGAAATATAATGTGTTGTAATCATTGTTTTTTATATAGCAATAAGAAATGAAACCTGGTGGCATTCTGAAATATTGTTGGAACTACTATATGATTTTCATGAGGAACTACTATAGGCTTTTCATGAGGAACTACTGTAGGCTTTTCATGAGGAACTACTATATGATTTTCATGAGGAACTACTATAGGCTTTTCATGAGGAACTACTGTAGGCTTTTCATGAGGAACTACTGTAGGCTTTTCATGAGGAACTACTATATGATTTTCATGAGGAACTACTAACTATAGGCTTTTCATGAGGAACTACTGTAGGCTTTTCATGAGGAACTACTGTAGGCTTTTCATGAGGAACTACTATATGATTTTCATGAGGAACTACTATAGGCTTTTCATGAGGAACTACTATATGATTTTCATGAGGAACTACTATAGGCTTTTCATGAGGAACTACTGTAGGCTTTTCATGAGGAACTACTGTAGGCTTTTCATGAGGAACTACTATATGATTTTCATGAGGAACTACTATAGGCTTTTCATGAGGAACTACTGTAGGCTTTTCATGAGGAACTACTGTAGGCTTTTCATGAGGAACTACTATATGATTTTCATGAGGAACTACTATAGGCTTTTCATGAGGAACTACTATATGATTTTCATGAGGAACTACTATATGATTTTCATGAGGAACTACTATAGGCTTTTCATGAGGAACTACTGTAGGCTTTTCATGAGGAACTACTATAGGCTTTTCATGAGGAACTACTATATGATTTTCATAAGGAACTACTATAGGCTTTTCATGAGGAACTACTGTAGGCTTTTCATGAGGAACTACTATATGATTTTCATGAGGAACTACTATAGGCTTTTCATGAGGAACTACTGTAGGCTTTTCATGAGGAACTACTATAGGCTTTTCATTAGGAACTACTGTAAGCTTTTCATGAGGAACTACTGTAGGCTTTTCATGAGGAACTACTATAGGCTTTTCATTAGGAACTACTGTAGGCTTTTCATGAGGAACTACTGTAGGCTTTTCATGAGGAACTACTGTAGGCTTTTCATGGGAAACTACTGTAGGCTTTTCATGGGAAACTACTGTAGGCTTTTCATGAGGAACTACTGTAGGCTTTTCATGAGGAACTACTGTAGGCTTTTCATGAGGAACTACTGTAGGCTTTTCATGAGGAACTACTGTAGGCTTTTCATTAGGAACTACTGTAGGCTTTTCATGAGGAACTACTATAGGCTTTTCATTAGGAACTACTGTAAGCTTTTCATGAGGAACTACTGTAGGCTTTTCATGAGGAACTACTATAGGCTTTTCATTAGGAACTACTGTAGGCTTTTCATGAGGAACTACTGTAGGCTTTTCATGAGGAACTACTGTAGGCTTTTCATGGGAAACTACTGTAGGCTTTTCATGGGAAACTACTGTAGGCTTTTCATGAGGAACTACTGTAGGCTTTTCATGAGGAACTACTGTAGGCTTTTCATGAGGAACTACTGTAGGCTTTTCATGAGGAACTACTGTAGGCTTTTCATTAGGAACTACTGTAGGCTTTTCATGAGGAACTACTATAGGCTTTTCATGATGAACTACTGTAGGCTTTTCATGAGGAACTACTGTAGGCTTTTCATGAGGATCTACTGTAGGCTTTTCATGATGAACTACTGTAGGCTTTTCATTAAACAGACCTTTTTGTCATGTATATAGATATAAGTTGCAGCGGGCTGGAAAACGATGTCGATAGCTACGATTTTTACTTAATAACTCACAATCTTGCAAATCGTCACGCAAAACACAAAATACTGAATAACAATATTTAACTGCACCATACTGTAGTAGCATTTATTGTTCTTTTTTAAAAATGATTTCTTAAATAACAGAACGGGAGGCCGTTGGCCAAACACACCACATACACAAAATACAGATTTTTCAGCCGCATCTACATGCACGAACGTCTATTTCATATAGTGACTAATTTATATCACTCTTGCATTTATTCTCGATATTTTTGCTAGCATCGTGTGAGAAACATTCCAATGTTAAAACTTGATGGATGGATCTTTTTTTTCGTTTCAGGTCGGTGGGAAATTTGAAGAACTAAGAGGTATTATCGAAAAGGTACACGATAAATCTCGTGTTGGTGTTTGTCTCGATACCTGTCATGCTTTTGCCGCTGGGTATGATTTCAGAACAAAAGATGGCTATGAACGTATGATGAATGACTTTGAAAACGTCGTTGGTTTACAATATTTAAAAGGTGTTCACTTGAATGACTCTAAAGGAGAATTGGGCTGCCATCTTGATAGGCATGAAAATATCGGGAAGGGAAAAATTGGATCGAGTGGGTTCGAGCATCTGATGAATGATCCGAGGTTAAATGGAGTGCCTATGGTGTTAGAAACTCCTTGTCAAAGCGATGATGTTTATGAAAAAGAAATTAATTTGCTGTATTCCATGCAAAGATGTGCTGCAAGATGAAACTATGTAAATACTGAAACGCTTTTCCGCGTTGTTTTACTTGTTTAGACCGTATTTTCTGCTGGTTTCTTAGAATTTTAACCAAATTGATCTCGTGATCGCCTTTGTAGTTTACCAAATTGTATTTTAACGGTTATTCCTTTGTGTTTTTCTAGGAAATTGTAATTTTTTAATAAATTCCTATTCTATCAATTTTCCAGCGAGATTTATTAAAAGACAAAGACTGCGCCCAGACTGAGTGCTCGGCACTGGTGTCCGGGCTTTTTCTGGCGCTTAATTTGAATATGACGCTTCAAATTGAAATCGGGCATGGTGCCCAAGAACGGCCACTACCTCCAGAGGAAGTACTCAACAAGGGTCAGCATGTTTTATGAACCAGTTTTGACTTTGGGCACCGGTGCCGGGCACTCAGTCTGAACACAGCCAAAGACTATCCTTTGTCATACAATTTATCGTATTAAGCGTTCCGGGAGGGAAAAGAGTGGAAAACGAGGATACATGAGGATTAGGGGTGTTTGACATTTTCGCAGTGGAACAAAATCATTCTAAAATAAGTTCACAGAAAGTCAATAACCTGCGCGTAACCTCTGCATAGTCCTCTGATTATTTATACCCAATTATACAAGAATTCCTAAGACGGGGGGGAGGTTGCTCCTCTCACAAAATCAGTAGGAAGTTTCCGATTCACGACGCGGCCAGCTCAATGAAGCACTTGCAAAACAAAGAAACATCACACGCGAGACAATAGCTGTGCATTATTCCTAGTCCTATGATAGCGCTGTCATTCTTACGACGCCTTCAAATAAGGCATTTTCATGGCTTCTCGATGACATGAAAGTAGCGACAACGTGATTGCTGTTTGATAGCTTATATGAAACTGCAATGTCAGCCAGACATTGGAGGTTCTTATCACAATTGATTGAAACATTTCTATGATTATTTCAATGTCCTGGCAGCGTAATTAATTTCCCGTAGCTTATTTCTAGCTAACCGCGTGGTAAACGGTACAATTTTTCTTGCAACTTGCAATGCAATTCTACTTTTGAGAGATGTATATTTGGGAACAACGAAACAATCATGATGTTATGTGGCAGGAAAATATTTGTGTTTGGTACTGTGGTACATCACTTAATTTATAGTGTCAACTTGCTGATGTTTTTGTATTCATTATTTTGAGTACTTTTTCAAAATTTAATATTCAATTTTTACACAGAAATCACTTTAAACACACTATACTCCTTGTGACTAATGTTAAAAGCGACTTCTTTCATATACTTTGATTTTATTAGTATTTATCAAAGACTATGAAAGAAGTCGCTTTAACATTCGCGTATTTAACGCCAGCAAGAGAAGTAGTCTGCGACTTAGAATTTTTTCGTGTCATGGCTCACCCCTATTCAAACGCAAAGCATGGTTAGGTTACCTCTACTGAGCAGTCGGCTCAGTGTGATAAGGTGCCGACTTCGGTTGGTCAGATCCGGTCTACGCATGCTCACGTAATGCGGACCTGAATCCAAGTAACTGAGAGTAGTGAACTTAAGCAAGTGACGTTTTTGACAACACGTACGTTGACCGGAAGTAAATCACAACCACCAATCACTACCCTAGACCCAGTCTTTTGACGTAACACATGCCGTTCGTGTTGTCAAAAACGTCACTTAATAGCTTAAGCTCATTATTCCATGATTTTTACCGTGCGCTTGAACATGACCATACCTAGCATGGAATTCTGGGGTTTTTATTTGGTCATCATACTTTAAGGGATCATCATAAAAAATTAGAGTCATTTTTTAAATGCATAAAAACGATCGATAATCTATTTAACATAATATTTTTTACCCTGGACACGTTGAAAAGGAAATTGTTTTGGTAATGCAGGAGAATTGTAACACAAAAAGGCTCGCACAATAAATCATCAGTCCCATATAATTTATTAATGAACGAACAACTAATTCCATGTATTTTGATCAAACTTAAATTAAAAAAGCGCAACTATTAACAGTTCTTTATGCAACTGTAAATATTATAGCAATCAGCAAAATAAGTAAAGCAAGTTAACATGCATTAATTGTCTCAGAGTTTGAGTATTTCAACAAGTATTAACAAAGAGCCAATCAAAAGAAAGCTGGCAATAGGAGGCATGCCGAAAGAATTACCAGGTTTGAATTTTGCGATACAATTTTTTGTATCGCAACATCCCGTTTTACACTCTTTAATCGTTTGGTTATTCTTCTTTACTAAACCACAAATCTCTGAAGAATTTGAACAACGCGAAGACTGGTAACAACGCTCGTCAGTCATCAGATCTTCACCGACCTTGTAGTTGATCCTCAGACACTGATCTTTATATCCACAGCTGATACTATTTGTTTTACACGTCTTTCCTGAAAAATTAATAACATGAGCAGATGAGGCATGAGACGACTCTTAACTCAATTATAGTGTACAGTATAAACGATAGAAGGGAGGAAGCGCTGGGGAGCTTAACTTCTTCATCAAGGTGATATGGTAGAAAAAATAGCTAGAATAATATTATCAGACTATGCATAATGTTATCATGACTGTTTTGTGAAAATTATTTAAAAAGTTTATAGTAAATTCATTGGAAACCTAATTAACGTCGACGACGAAAACAGCTAGTAATATATAATGAATGAAAAGATATAAAGGAAAAGTCCCGTTCTAGAGTCGTTTACAACGCGGAAAATCGCGGATATTTTGGGTAATGACTGACAGACATAACCTGCTGTCACTTTCCTCCGCCGAGGCCTTTGTGTGAGTAACTAAAATATCTACCCGCTTCTAATTTTAATACTTCTAGCTTACACAAAAGCATCTGCTGAGGATGTATCAACGTGCTTGCATCATTGTAGAAACGCAAGAAGGGCGCTAGGTGACATAGCGGACAAAATCTGACTATGCACTTCATCTTGAGTTAGATGAAGTAGAATCAAATATTAAATAATGATATACTGTTTTGAAAATAATCTATTGTTTGTTTATCCGGATCAACTAACTACACACTGTGTCCGAGCGTCACATATCCCATAGATTGGTACGTTAAAAAATAATCAATTTGCAATTGACGCTTTGTAGTTATCACTATGATTTTTTTACGTACGTAAGCAACTTGTTATACGTGAAAAGGAGGTTGCCCTTCATACTTTTTTCGCTCAACGTTTAATTAAGGAGATTTTGAGAAAACATTGAGCTGTCAATAGTTCCAACGGAAAAAAATTTCATCTTCAACAGGTATACAGTGCATTTGGCTCTAGAATTGAGATAAATCTCAGAAGTAATACATATCTTACCTTTTCCTTGACATTGGTAGCATTTCAGAGGAGCTGGTGGGTCACAATTGTCTGCATCACAGCATGATGTAATACAATTAGTCGCACCTTCAAAAAGATTTCCAAAGTCGGTTCCTAGCTTCGAACAGTTAAGAGTTCCAGCGCAATGATTCAACGAAGCGCATGCTTCAAAAACTTTCTCGACGCCGTTTTGCATGAACAATACTCTACCACAAAAATCTTCACCAGGTGGACATTTTCTGCTCTCATCGTAATGAGTACATTTTGTGCCATTACCAAAACACGTGGTGCAGTTCAGTGCAGACGAAGCTATGGTAAATAAACAGAAACAAAAAGTCCGGTAAAAAGTACGGAATGTCTGGGTTAATATAGTTATAAGGAATTTTCTAATTATTAAAAGAATGAGTGATGTTAAAAAACTAAACATTTTTCGTGAACATCAAGCGTGAAAAATATCACCATGCGTAAGTAAAAAAAAATCGCAGTATGTAAAAAATAATGAGCAAAGTTAGCAAAGAATGCATGAAATGTTTACGGATAGTAGCGGTGAGAATCGTAACTATATAAAACGACCGGACAATAAATCATTTCAGCATATATGTATATAATTTACAAAGATGATTTAAACTATGAATAGCCTAAATTGTCCTTCGTGATCTGCTTATAGCCTGGATGGAGTCATGTCGACTTTTTCTCTTTATCCAAATAGGCGACGTATATAGATCGGGATGATTATACATCATGCACTGCCAAGACATTTTCACATCTCAAAATCATTTCACGCGCGCTTTGTCAATAATCTCGGGAAACGGAATCATGTGATCAACCTCAATCTTCATCTGAATCTAATCAATCAATCTTCATCTTCAATCTGAATCTAATTATTGTTCAGTATTTTTTTTGTTCTGTTTCAAGTGTCCTAGCGTGCCGGTGCATGGTTGCGACAATGCATGAAACAAGGTAAGAGATCAGATTGCTCAACATGCACAATACCTGCAAGAATCGTTGATAGGAAAAATATGTTGATTAAAACCATCTTCATTAATTTTTCTCTCTACTCCTATATTAAAATGTGAAAGATTGAGATTACTGACATATCCCGGGGAAGGGGGTGCGTGATGGTAATGTATTATGTAGGAAGTGTTTTACGTTTTTGGCGAGTGGCCTTATCCTATAGTATAAATAGCACTAAACTGATGAATACACGACAATAAGCAGGTTCGTTATTAATTTAAGGGGTTTTTTTTAAATTGTGGTGCACGTTATATCCAAAACATTGCGCAAAGACATATCGTTAAACTCAATCGATTCGGAAAAAAAAAACGCTTTTTCTATAGAAAAAGTTCTAAATGACCTTTATAAAACTTGTACAAAATTTACAGTAAAACGTGCAATGTTTGCACCTTTGCGGAATATATCGCGCCCACAGAGCTATATTAAAATTCTTGGAGGATTAAAATTCTTGAACAAAGAAGTGGCTTCTTCCTTACCCATTGTTGCTACAACTAATCAATTAACCTAAGTTTTTTGTCTTTACACCCGGGTGAAGGCTTTTGGACGTATTTCTCACGCCAGGGTCGACTAATATAAACCTATTGTAGCGATGTAGTGCAATAACTGTTTTCAAAAAGCATTTGAAAGCAACTATCGATAGGAAATATATCAAAAACTGAGTATAGAAACAGCAGGTATGTCTAATGATAACATACCTTTATTACACCTCTCTGATTAATCTATTTCTAACATTTTTTATGGCTATTTGATTGCCAAATTATTATGGCCAGTCCAGTCTTTGATTTTTGCTTGCCAAAGAATGAGGCATTATATTTTACATCATTAATTTTTTTAATATTTTATACCCAGTTCAAATAACAATTTTTTTCATAAATGAAAAAGTTCACATAGTGTGAAATAAATTTATCTTTGTGTGTTTTGTGAAGGCAGCCAGTGCTTGAACTTCTGAAAATTATGCTCACCTTTCCTGTTTGTATTTTACAGATGTCTTTTACAGTTGACAGGGATATTTTAACAGGATCTCAGAACAACATGTGACTATTAACTGGACCTCTGGCAATTGTTTTATAGGCCTAATATTTCATTCATGTAAATTCCAAAATTGATTTATCATGTTCCTGCGCCAAAACTTAGCACGTATGTAACTTGTCATATAATGAAATGTCACCACCTTCAAATGAAGGATTTTGCTATCGACTCATGTTACTGCATATAAGCACTGTATAGTGTAACCACATATCTCAGATTTATTCGTCATAGTCTCATAGTATTTATCCGAGCATCTAAAAAATGGGTAATTTCTGATAGAAATGAGAAAGGACCGATCTTAATCTATAGCATGACTTAATCTATAATTTAATCTATACTTAATCGATTAATTCTAAGACTTCAAAGGAAAAAAAACCTCTTAAATTAAAACTAATTAATTTAGAGACAGTGCGTGGTAAGCATTTCGAAATTCCTTTCAGTTAGCTCATTGCACAGAAGCATGTTGTTACGTGATATGATTGAAGAACACTAAAGTCTGCTTCACACTTGTCGCAAGAATCTGGGATTCCCTGTCTGTCGGAAGATAACAATAGATGCCCGATAACCCCCAATTCTTCGGACAAGTATGAATGAGGCCTTTCGAATTCAGGGCCACGCAGACAGAACGCGATCTGGCATGCATCGCGATCGCGTCCGGGCTGTGCGTCATTGTGGGCCGATAGAACTCGTAAGGAAATAAAGCCGAAAAAAACTTTTCCCAGCCTCACGACACCGATAAAATTTGCACCACGCCGTATTTAAACCAGATTAAACTAATACAGGGCATCCTCAGGAGTATATTTTCCAGGGTGTGACATTCACATTCAGATTTTAAAGTTCGTGTCAATTCAATTATACGTGGTTTAGAATTAGGACGAAGGACAGGACTCTGCTGCAAACGTAAATAGCGAGACAAAATCCTATCGTACAAACTACAGATTCGTTCAGAAATTTAGGAAGTGCTGAGATGACAAACACGGATACGAATTCCTGAAATTTTCTCTCACACCCCACCAGTTTTCCAATTTATAGCTTAAATTTAGTGAAATTTGCTTACCTGTATAACCACAAGACACAAGTCACAGGTGTTCAGAGATGACTGGAAGGTATGAAATTATACAAATGCACTCTATTACACTGCGGTTATCGTCACGGTTTCGAAATACTTTAAGGTTCCGTTTAGAGGTGTCATGTTGCAAATATACAAAAAAATTGAAACATTCGACAAGAGCCTTGACACGTGTAATTTATGTCGCAGTTCAAACGTATCATGCAGGCATAATTTATGTCGCAGTTAAACTGACGCAGTTCTGCTCATGCGCTAATTTGTTTTTAAAAAAATATATTTTCAAAATTTTTATATAATTCTATTGCCTCAGTCTGTGTCTCATGGTCTGGAGCCTACCAAGCGAAATGTTGCTACTATTAATTGCACTGGTGAATCTATCGCGTCTGCCAATGTTACAGTTCTATAATTATTCATACACTGAAAAAAACGAGTTGTGAGCATTTGAGACACCTTCCTCTACAGAAATAATTCTTACGATATTTAGAAGTGGTATGTACCATCCATGTTGATAAAACTATGATCTCCGAAACGTTTCACGTTGTCGTTGCTGCAGTGTTCGACCCAAGGAACATAGCTGCCCCATAACTAAAAAATTCTGCTGACAGTGCTAAAATTTTAGCACGTATATAACTTGTCATATACGTCACCACTATAAAATGAGGGATTTTTCGGGACTTTTTTAATAACCAATCATGTAATTATTGGACACCGTCACACCGATCGATTTATGTTACTGCATATAAGCACGGTACAGCGTAACCACACATTTCAGACTCCGTTCACACGTAACCGGAAGAATCTGAAAACGCTCTCCTTCAACTTTATATTGCTATATTAGTTATTTTCATGGTGAGTAAAATCTTCGGCAATTCTTGTAGCATTTGCGGAAGTATTTTACGAGAGAAACATGGTTATACACAATTTCTTATACACGACATGCATTTAAAATAGATACTCAACAACAATATAATTGAATTTGGGCTTGTCCTCTGTCCAAAGAAAGTCCTCATTCTTGTTTTTTACTTTGGATTTTGTAGATTCTTGCTTTGAATGCGACATTCAACCTGTGACACGCGGGTGGAAAACGGTGAAAGTGTATCGTGGGATCAAATAACTTTAGCGTTTTCGGATCATTTTTGTGTTTACGTGTGGACGCGGATAAATATTTTAACGGATAAATATTTTTGCCTTTTCAAATTCTTCCGGCATCGTGTAGACAGGGCATGATATTCGTCATAGACTCACATCTAAAAAAATGGGTAATTTCTGACAGAAATGAGAATAAAGGACCGATCTTAATCCATAATAATTATAATATACTCCATAACTTCATAAGCCACCAGACTGGGTAGTGTTGCAGCTCTTCGCAAGAATGATTTTCATTAGCTCAACTTTACAATACATTTTTGTTTCAACCAATAGCATAGCTTCGTTCTTTAGAAAGCATAGAAATTATCCAATTGGGCGAAAGCTTCCGAGAGCTGCGACATGTCCCACCAGACTTGAAACAAGTCTATGCATGGGAACGACCTTTTTTTCAAGTGTTGATGAAACTCGTGCTTTAGTTGTTTTTGCCTGGTTTTATGTTAAATATGATTATTTTGGTCTAATTCGTCACATGTGGCAATTAAAGTTGTAAATTACGCAATAGTTATACTTTGTTTTACTACGTAGTTATTTATGTCAAAGGAATTCTTAGGAAATCTGGGGAAATTTTGAGTAATTTTTGAAGAATTCATCAATTTTGTTGTGAGAGGCCTGGTCATATTTGCAACATGACACCTCTAAAAGCATTTGAAACCGTGACGATAACCGCGCGTGTGCAGTCCAAGAGAGTGCATTTGTATAATCTCACCTGCCAGTCTACATCTCTGAACACCGGTGACTTGTGCTTATACAGGTAAGCAAATTTCACTACATTTAAGCTATAAATTGGGAAACTGGCGGGATGTGCAAGAGAATTTGGGGAATTCTATATAGACAAACGGAGTGGTGACCGTGTTTGTCATCTTAGCATGTGAAATCATGCATGAATTTTATGTACACCTTCCTAAATTCTAAAGGATTCTGTAGTTTCTATGATAGGATGTGTCTCGCTTTTCAAATATGATGCGATTTGATACGTTTCGAGCAAAGTAATATAAATATAAACTGCGTACAAACGAGACGAACTAGCCTCATCCGCAGGCAACTCTTATGCATTAAATTATATTTCGTTATTAGGCATGGGTTAGCTGTGTTAAGGCTTTGTTTTCCAAATGGAGACTGCAGTTTTTACCCGTGTCGTGAGGCATCCGTGCGGAAAAACGTCAATATTTCCCTATGAGCTAGTTTAAAGGCCCACACAGACTGAACGCGATGTGGTAACGCAACGCGATGCATGCCAAATTGTGTCATGTTTGTGTGGGCCTGAAAGGCCTCACTCATCCTTGTCCGAAGAGTCGGGCATCCATTGTGTTATCTTCCAACAGACAGGGAATCCCAGATCCTTGCGACAAGTGTGAAGCAGACTTTAGTGTTCTTCAATCATACCACACAACACCATGCTTCTGTGAGCTAATTCAGGGGTGTTTCGAAATCCTACTAGCATAAGTTATGGAGTAAATTATATTATAGATTAAGATCGGTCTTTTCTCATTTCTGTCAGATATTACGCATTTTTTTAGATGTGAGTCTATGACAAATATTATGCCCTGTCTACACGATGCCGGAAGAATTTGAAAAGGCAAAAATATTTATCTGCGTCCGACACGTAAGCACAAAAACGATCCGAAAACGCTAATAAAGTTTTTTGATCCCCTAATACACCTTCATGTTTTCCACCCGCGTGTCACAGGCTGGATGTCGAATTCAAAGGAAAAAATCTACCAAATTCAAAGTGAAAAAAACAACAATGAGGACTTTGTTTGGACAGATGACAAGCCCGAACTCATAAATATTGTTGTTGAGTATCTATTAAATGCATGTCGTGTATAAGAAATTGTGTATAACCATACCCCGACATTTTGGACACGTTTCTCTTGTAAAATACTTCCGCAAATGCTACAAGAATTGCCGAAGATTTTACTCACCATGAAAATAACCTAAAAAAGACTTATTTGAGGCTAATATAGCAATATAAAGTCGAGCATAAGCCACCAGACTTGGAACAAGCCTCATTAATATGGAAACGACTTGATACGTGACGTCATCGTTTTCAAATTATCCGGCAAAGCTGTCCACACGTATCCGCTCAGCCGTCGTTTTCAAATTCTTCCACTCTGGAGAGCGTTTTAAGATTTTTCCGGCATCGTGTGAACGGGGCCTATATGTCTGAAATGTTTGGTTAATGCGTTGTATCGTGCTTATATGTCAGTTTGACGGTGTCGGAGAAGTACATCATTCGCTATTAAAGAAGACCGGAAAAATAATTTTGCAGTGGTGACGTATATGACAAGTTATATACGTGTTAAAATTTTAGCCCTGTTCGCAGAATTTTTTAGCTATGGAGCAGCTATGCTCTTTGGGTCGAAGAGCGCAGCAACGACAACGCGAAACGTTTCGGGTATCATTTTTATAAACATGGACGGTACATACCACTTCTAAATATCGTAAGAATTTTCTCTAAAGAGGCAGCTGTCTCAAACGCTCAAAACTCGTTTTTTGCCGAATCGATTGAATTTATCGAATTGTGTTTTCTGCTTATTGTTGTTTATTCATTGGTTTATAGTGCTATTATAATATTAGAATAAGGTCATTGGCCATGCAGAAACGTTAAACACTTCCTAAATAATACAATTACCATCACGCACATGCTCTAGGATATGTCAATATTCTCAAATATTTCACATTTTAATATAGGAGTAGAGAGAAAAATTAATGAAGATGATTTTAATCAACATATTTTTCCTATCAACGATTCTTGCAGGTATTGTGCATGTTGAGCAATCTTCTCTTACCTTGTTTCATGCATTGTCGCATCCATGCACCGGCACGCTAGGACATGAAACAGAACAAAAACCAAGTACTGGACAATAATTAGATTCAAGGTGCCCTGTGATGATTGAGGTTGATCACATGATTCCGTTTCCCGAGATTATTAACAAAGCGCGCATGAAATGAATTTGAGACGTGGAAATGTCTTGGCAGTGCAAGATTTATAATTTATATATTTTTTCTTTCTTACACATGGTGATAGAAATTCCTTATAACTATATGAACGCAAACATTCTGTTTATTTATCATAGCTTCGTCTGCACTGGACTGCGTCGAGTGTTTTGGTAATGGCACAAAATGTAATGAACAAGGTAAGAGCAGAAAATGTGGACCTGGCATAGATCTTTGTGGTAGAGTATTGTTTATGAAAAGTGGCGTCCAGAAAGTTGCGGAAATATGCGCTTCGAAGAGTTATTGCGTTGGAACTATTGACTGTTCGAAGCTAACAACCGACTTTGGAAAGCGTTATAAAGGTGCGACTAATTGTATTACATCATGCTGTGATGAAGACAACTGTGACCCGCCAGCTCCTCTGAAATGCTACGAATGTCAAGGAAAAGGTAAAAAATGTATTACTCCTGATATTTATCTTCTAGAACAAAAGATGAAATTCATTTGCGTTGGAACTATTGACTGTTCAGTATTTTCTCAAAATTCCTTTAATTGAACGTTGATCGAAAAAAGTGTGAAGGGCAACTGCTTTTTAACACACAACATGTTACTTACGAAGTTACGTACGTAAAAAAAAATCAATAGTGATAATGAACTGCAAGGCGTCAAATTGCTTTATTTTTTCACGTACCAATATTGCTATGAGATATATGACGCACGGACACAGCGTGTAATTGATCCGCAAAAACAAGCAATGGATTATTTTCAAAACATTATCACTATTTCAAAACGTGTCTACAACACGAAATACTTCATCTAACTCAAGATGAAGTGCATAGACAGGTCTTGTACGCTTTTTCACCTGGCGCCGTTCTTGTGTTTCTACAATGATGCAAGCACGTCGATATCCTCAGGAGATACTTTTGCGTAAGAAGTATTAAGATTAGAAGCGGGGAGATATTTTAGTTACACACACAAAAGCCTCGGGGGAGAGAAGTGACAGCAGGTTGTATCTGTCAGTCATAACCCACTGAAATATTCGTGATTTTGATAATATTAGTCTAGCTATTTTTTTCTACTATATCACCTTGATGAAGAAGTAAAGCTCCCCAGTGCTTCCTCCCCTCCATCATTTGTACCGTACTATAATTGAGTTAAGAGCCGTCTCAGGCCTCATCATGAGCATATTATCAATTTTTCAGGAAAGACGTGTAAAACAAATAGTATCAGCTGTGGATATAAAGAAGATCGGTGTCTGAGGATCAACTACAAGGTCGGTGAAGATCTGATGACTGACGAGCGTTGTTACCAGTCTTCGCGTTGTTCAAATTCTTCAGAGATTTGTGATTTAGTAAAGAAGAATAACCAAACGGTTAAAGAGTGTAAAACGTCATGTTGCAATACAGAAAATTGTAACGCAATTATCAAATTTTGTAATTCTTTTGGCGTGCCTCCTATTGCCAGCTTTCTTTTGATTGCCTCTTTGTTAATACTTGTTGAAATACTCAAACTCTGAGACAATTCATGTTAACTTGCTTTACTTATTTTGCTCATTGCTATAATATTTACAGTTGCATAAAGAACTGTTAATAGTTGCGCTTTTTTAGTTTAAGTTTGATAAAAATAGATGGAATTAGTTTTTCGCTAAATTAATAAATTATATGGGACTATACTAATGATTTATTGTGCGGCCTTTCTGTGTTACCATTCTCCTGCATTACCTAAACAACTTCCTTGCCAACGTTTCTCAGGGTAAAAAATATTATGTTAAATAGAGCGTCGTTTCCACACACTTCTTTAAAGTATGACGACCAAATAAAAACCCCAGAATTCCATGCTATATGGCGATGTTCAAACGTACGGCAAAAGTCATAAAATAGTGAGCTTAAGCAAGTGACGTGTTGTCAAAAACGTGACTTGCCTTAAGTTCACTAGTTGTCTTGTGGCGCCATTTCGTCACTCAATTATTCGACGGCGCTGTCGAAATAGTATCATATATACCCCAATTAACTTCGTACCCATGTATACGGTAATTTCAAATTAGATCAAATCATATTTATAAATATCACTGGTATCAACGAGGGCCCTTCGCTCTGTTATAGGGGGGAAGGGATACCGCCCGCTCCGAAATCAATACGGAACTTAAGCAAGTGACGTTTTAATTTTCGAGCCAACGGCAACCTGACTGTCGCAAAAAGCCTGGAAACTGCTATGCCATCCCAGCGAATTTCAAAGCATTTGAGCAAACTGCAGCGACGGGAGATGTCTTAGTTTCGAGAAATTAGATGTTTTGTTTAGTACTGTTTGACTGAGAAGGTGTTCTGACTGAAGAAGAGTTTATTCTATTGCACTTAGCGTACGATTCAAGGAATCTAGAGTTTCGAAACAGCAATTATTAGCCTTTTGTCTGGATGGAATGAACGAAGCCGAATGTTTAGCAGAATTTAGAATACAACCTATTTCTTCAGAAAACTCCACAAATTCCCGATGTAATTAAGTGCCCACAAAGAACAACCTGTTCCGGACTCGAACGGACTGTGTATGCTTTTGAACCACCTCGCATATCCACGTCGATATTGCGATATAATGACGCTTTGGCGATCGGTTCCGGAGATGTGCATGATATCAAATTTGGTTACTGATTTTATACACAATAATCACTGACATAGAGTAATTCTATGAAACCCCACACGTTCTGAAAATCTTCAGATTTATGCAGAAGCCATTCATGAAAAAGGGCCCGCTAGAAAATTGCTTCGGCTTCATAGACGGAACTGTGAGACCAATTTGTCAACATGACAAACATCAGCGAGACATTTACAATTAATGGTCACAAAAGAGTTCATTCCTTTAAGTTTCAGTGCATTGCATGACCAAACGGAATTATTGGTTATTTATATATATATATTTATATATATATATATATATTATTATATATATATATATATATTATATTTATATATTATATATATATATATTATATATATATATATATTTGTCCTGTTGCAGTAAGTTAATTTCTTTAAACATTTTTGCACACCAAATACGTTTTTTTAAGAATTTTACAGATTTTACAGATCTGAATACTTTGATTTTTTTAGAATTAAGGCAAGAAACACGACGCAGGGATGTTCGCCCAATCAAATTTATTACAACAAATAGAAGAGAATGCCTTTTCTCCAAATGGAACTCCGATGTGTGTTTATGTAGACCCCACTTACGCTCTTAGAGTTCACTGCAAGAAAGTGAATAACCTGCGTGTGACCTCGGCATAGTCCACTGATTAATTATTATACCCAATTATACAAGAATCGCTAGGACGGGGGGTTGCTTCTCTCACAAAATCAGTAGGAAGTTTACGATTCACGACGCGGCCAGCTCAACAACGCGCTTGCAAAACACTGAAAGAAACTTCACGCGAGAGACAATAGGTGTGCATAATTTGTGGTCCCATGACAGCGTTCATTCTTACGACGCCTTGGAATGAGGCAATTTGATGGCATCTCGATGACATGAAAGTAGCGACAACGCGTGATAGCTGTACATGTTAGATAGCTTATATGAAACTGCAATGCCAGCCAGACATCGGAGGGTCTTAGCACAATTGATTGAAATGTTTCTATGGTTAGTTCAATGTTTTGGCAGCGTAATTAATTTCCGTAGCTTATTTCTAGCTGACCGCGTTGTAAACTCCTTAGTGTTCAATCATGATGTTATGTGGGAAGAAAATATTTGCTTTACGCGTGGGTAAGAAAGCCTTCACGAGATGCAAGATATGGACTAGCCTCCTCAGCAGGCATCTCTTATCTATTTTAAGTATTGCTCATATTTGGTTTGGGCTAGCTGTTTCGAGGAGTAGAGAGAAAAAATGAAGAGATCTCTCCCTTTACCTACACAGCTAGCATCGCCAAGCCAAATACGAGTATTACTTATAAAAATTAGAGATGCCTGTGCTTGTGGAGGAGGCTGGGTAGGGACAGTTTTCTTTCAATCAGATAATATTCAGTCATTGTCTCGTGGTAAGACCAGCGGCATCCCGACTGACAGCAGCAGGTCTACAAATTTGGAATTAACACAAATCCTCGCGCCGTTATACCAAGTGTTTGTTAGAATCGGCAACTCACGGCAAGAACATTCGCTGTTTGTGTCAGATGAAATAAAGTTTGTATTTTATGATATGGCATTATGTAACTTCATTTTCCATGATTAAAATGGAAATTTTACAAAAGTCTCCTGCAGAGTGTATATAAGACTGCTTTAATCCATATTATTTAATCCATATTTGCTTTATAGCAAGCAATTTCTTGAGAAATCCATACAAAATTGTATTATGCACTTAATGTGCAAGAATACGACGAACAACTGGTCGTTGACCTAGACTATCCGGCTTCTATTTAATGCGCTGTCTCCTTTGTTCTCATCCAGTCCCCTGTCACACCGGCGTCAAGCGATATTAATGACGTTTGCTGTAGCCTCGGTGCCTTTCCAAAATTTATAACGAGTGATTGGTCATAAATTCGCGTGTCAGCCGCAAAATATAAAACGCTTGCAAAATATCTGACTGGGCAAAACCTTATACCCAGCTGTATATTTTTCATCTTAGTTGTATATTTTGGCAATTTGTATTTTGTGTTGTATCCGCTCGTGAATAGCTATTAGCAACTGCAGCAAATTTTAATCATATTAGGATTAAATGTGTGTAAACACGACAGTGTACTATGTACTATGCTAACAGCTGTCTACACAGCACTTAATTTATAGGGTCAACTTGTTGATATTTTTGTATTCATTATTTTTAAGTACCTTTTAAAAATTTAGAATTCGATTTTTATGCAGATGAAATCCTTCCTTCACAGCATCCCCCTGTCGGCGGCCCTGACGGTATATGACTAATGTTAATGGTATATGATTATATGTTTTTATGAAAAACTATGAAAGAGGTCGCTTTTAACATTAGTCATGCGTATAGTTTTTTTATATAGCATTGTAATGCTCGTAGAAGTTTTAAACTTTTCATAGCTTGCCTAGAGCTAGAACCAGTACTAGAAATTCATGTTAGGATTTCTAATTTCTATCTCCGCGGTAAAAGTAAAACTATGGAATAGTTTAGGATTCATGGTAGTTATTATAGTGGCAATTTGCATCTTGGATTTTTTGCAACTGCATGCGACAGTTATATTTCGCAGTCACAAATTACCCGTGACACCTGTCAAAGCTCTTGAAAAATGTTTGAGTCATATTTGCAATCTGACACCTCTAAACCAAACATGACACCTCTAAACCAAACCTAAAAGCATTTCGAAACCGCGTCGATAACCGCGCGTGTGCAGTCCAAGAGAGTGCATTTGTATAATCTCACCTTCCAGTCTACATCTCTGAACACCGGTGACTTGTGGTTATACAGGTAAGCAAATTTCACTAAATTTAAGCTCTGAAATGAGAAACCGGCGAGATGTGAGAGAGAATTTGAGGAATACTATATAGACCAACAGACTCTGTGTCTTAGTATGTGAAATCATGCATGCATGTTATGTACACCTTGCTAAATTCTAAACAATTCTGTAGTTTGTATGATAAGATGTGTCTCGCTTTTTAAAATATGATGCGATTCGATACGTTTCGAGCAAAGTACGTCCTAATTATGAATATAAACCGCGTACAAACGAGACGAACTAGCCTCCTCCGCAGGCATCTCTTATGTATTAAATTATATTAGGCTATTAGGCATGGGTTAGCTGTGTTAAGGCTTTGATCCCAAATGGAGTCTGCAATTTTTGTCCGTGTCGTGAGGCATCCGTGCGGAAAAACGGCAATGTTCCTTATGAGTTCTAAACGCCCACACAGACCAAACGCGATGTGGTAACGCAACGCGATGCATGCCAAATCGCGTCCTGTCTGTGTGGACCTGAAAGGCCTACCTCATCCTTGTCCGAAGACTCAGGCATCCATTGTGACTGTGTTATCTTCCGACAGACAGGGAATCCCAGATTCTTGCGACAAGTGTGAAGGAGGCTTTAGTGTTCTTCAATCATATCACGCAACACCATGCTTCTGTGAGCTAATTCAGGGGTGTTTCGAAATGCTACTAGCATAAGTTATAGAGTAAATTATATTATAGATTAAGATCGGTCTTTTCCCATTTCTGTCAGATATTACGCATTTTTTTAGATGTGAGTCTATGACAAATATTAGGCCCTGTCTACACGATGCCGGAAGAATTTGAAAAGGCAAAAATATTTATCCGTTAAAATATTTATCCGCATCCACACGTAAACATAAAAACGATCCGAAAACGCTAAAGTTATTTGATCCCGCAATACACCTACACCGTTTTCCACCCCGCGTGCCACAGGTTGAATGTCGAATTCGAAGCAAAAAATGTACCAAATTCAAAGTAAAAAACAACAATGAGGACTTTGTTTGGACAGATGACAAGCCCAAACTCATAAATATTGTTGTTGAAAATCTATTAGATGCATGTCGTGTATAAGAAATTGTGTATAACCATACCCCGAC